CCAGACAGCAACCAACTTAAGTTCTTGCCTTCCCCATTAAGAGTTTCTAGGGACAAGGTCATCTCTCCTCTTCTTCCTGGTACAGAGAGGGAGGCACCTTTTACAGATAGAGATTTACCTTACAAATGTAAATGTGTCCCAACAAGGGCAAGTTCCATTCCCCAGAGCCTCCATCCCTGTCCCAGCCCATCGAAAGCAATCAGCCCAAAACAATCCTGATGCCAAAGAGACATATCCTGGGGTGGCCAATTTCAGGTCCCTACAAGGTCATCCCCCCTTCCTTCACAAGTGCAAATGTCTCTCAAAAGGGCAAGCAAAATTCCAATCCTCGGAGCCTGCTTCTCATCTGAAGTTTTAAAATTAAGCAGCCTAAAAATCCTCATCAGGTGGACTGACTTGATCAGGGCCACCCCAGCAGCCTGGGGCAAGATGGGAGGTTCATGGACTTCTGTGCCACTTACTCCATCTCCTCAACCTATCAGAATTACCACAGCCTAATTCTGCTCCTAGTCTGATTTACCAATTTTGCCAGAGGACAAATAAGGTGAGACTATTCTGTCTCTGAGAAAATTTGTTATGACACAGAGCAAGAGAATCCATTCTGATATTATATTCAGAGGCGAGAAAGTGAAACTCCCAAGAAAAAAATCCTTTTTTTGATCAGGAATGAGGATACCCAGGGAGTGTGGGACAATTCTTTCCCTTGCCTTGGACAAGGAGGTTATTTCCCATAGGAAGGGGGGCAGAAAAGATAGGAATGACCAGAGTCCTGATTTGTTGTTCATGTTCTTTAAAGGGCACCATTTCTCTGAACTTAGGTCTTCACTGGAAGGGAAATCCTGAGTGAATTTTTTCCTGGAAGGATGCCAGGCTTCCTACTGCAGTAGCTGCCTGCTGAAAATCCCCAACTCCCGTGGGTGGATTCTCTGTTGCCACCCCCATGTCTGACCAGTCAGGAACAACATGATGTTCAGTGAGTTTGGGGGTGAGGATTTCTATTTCTGATCTGTGAAGCTCGTAAGGGAGAAGGAAGCTTACTTTAACTGACTGGAAGTGGTAATTGACCAACCTCTTAGACTCTGTTTTAAAGTATAGTGTATTAATAATAGAAAAAAATTTGAGCCTCAGTAAGGGTAATAGATCAGAAAATGATTGCCATTGAAAAGGTAGTTTACTACCCACAGATCCTCAGGGGAAGTGGTATACCATGCCATGCAAGGCCATAGGATGAAGCACCAAAGTTTTTCACAGGCAGAGAGAGGAGGAAGGAACTATGGGCTAGACCTTTTATTATGGTTTCAGCGGGAAGCAATGGGCGAGGCAGGGTAAGCAGGTTTAAGACTGTCTGGTTTGAATAGTTTCAGTGGACTCTGAGGCATAGGGACTGTCACTAGTTGCCTGGCACTTGACTCCAAAGAAATTAGAGTAGGTGGACAGTAGCCTGGAGTGTGACAGCTTGAAGAAGGAGGTAGTTGGAAGTATGAGCTCTGAATTGGTTGGTTTGCATTTGGAAAGTGTGCTCAGGGTGATCTTTTTACTATCTTTAGGAATGAGCTAGCCCTGGGTGAGGGGGCAGTCTCTCCAGGTCAGCAAGACCCCAAATGTCCAAGCATCAGAATACAGAAAACAAAAGAGTGAATGCATTCTGCCTGGGAGTAGAGCTCTCACTGCTTTGGTCTTTGCTTTGCCCAACTGTTGAGACCCTGGAAGTCCAGAGAGTGGCTGTAGGATTTGGTGGGCATCAGCTGATGGGTGTTAGTATCATCTACAGGTACATGATGATGGAGCCCTGGAACACGCACACTCCTGGGAGGACGGCCCTGGTGTACCTTTCCATCAGGCTGCAATCTTCTTTCAGGCTCTGACTCCTGCACTATTGGGCTGTTTTCTCACCTCTGCAAAGTAGGGGAAAAGCATATGGTGGAGGGATCCAGGCAAGGCCTGCCATCCAGGGATACTCCTGCCTACATTTAGACCCGAAACCTCTCTTGCTCTCACTTATATAAAGCTTCCTTGAAGTTCCCTCTTCTCTACTTTTCTTTGCCTGTCTGCCTACCTTCTTCCAACATACATCTCTCCTGTAACACACACACACACACACACACATGACATGGATATTGATACTTACCCCATAAGAATATTGGGAGGACTAAATGAGGCAACATACTTGAAAATATCTTCTACAGTAGGATGGAACAGATGCTCACTAATTGTTACTTTCATTTTTCTGGCTTCATTTAGTTGTTTATTCACTCATGGATTCATTTATACATACAATAAATATTCATTAAGTACTTGCTATACCAGATACTGTGCCAGGCATTGAGAATATAAAGATAAGTTTAACAAAATCCCAACACTTAAGATCTTATTGGCTGCTGGGGAGGTATATAATTAAAAGATGATTCTAGGGGCCAGTCAGGTGGCATAGTGGTTAAGTTCATGCTCTCTGCTTTGGTGGCCTGGGTTTCATGGGTTTGGATCCTAGGCATGGACCTACACACCACTCGTCAAGCCATGCTGTGGCAGCATACCACATACAAAATAGAGGAAGACCGGCACAGATGTTAGCTCACCTACAATCTTCCTCAAGCAAAAAGAGGAAGATTTGCAACAGATGTTAGCTCAGGGCCAATCTTCCTCACCAAAAAAAAAAAAAAAAAAAGGATTCTCTTACTTCATGAGAAGTGCTTGCAAGGGAGCTCTTGGGAGAAGAGAGAGGAGCACCTACCCTACAGCTGGGTGGAAGAGGGTTAGGTACGGCTCCTTGGAGGAGGTGATGTTCAGAATGAGTTCTTACAAATCCATGTTTCTTGTTTTGGTGGTGGTGGAGAGTTGGTGGGAAGAATCTCCCAAGCAGAGGAAATAGTGTGTTCAAAGGCTAGAGGTGATTCAAGGCTTGATGTGGTTCAAGGACTTGCAGGTGGTTCAGTGAACTTTCATGATTCCAGGTGGCTGAGTCATGGGAGATGGGGCTGGTCAAGTCAGGAAAGTAGCGGCCTGATCTAGGAGTTTGGGATCTATGTTTAATAACAGGGAGATCCATTTATTATTTTTAGCTAAGGAACTAATATGGTCAAATTTGTATTTTAGAACAATTACTCTGGTGTCAGTATGGAGAAGCAATTGGAACTGGGCAAGACTGGAGGCAGGTATGTGGTTAGTAGTCATTCATATCATCCATCAAATATTTCTGGTTCTCTGTCTTGGCTCATTGTAGGTTTCTTTTTCCTGTTAAAGTTAAATGTTGCCATAAGACTAGCTTTGGTAAATGAAAGGTGAAGCGAGGTGTCATGTCACTTCTGGATGGAAGCTTTAAGGCTGGTTTGCCATTTGTCACACTTATTCTTTCCTTCTGTCCCAGCAACTAGCAGTGTTAAAAATGGTGGCTGTTCTGTCGGTCTGCATACTGGAGTGAGAAAGAAATGGCAGAGCCACTTGGGTGTCTGGGAATGTGGCATATAGCACCAGCAGGAAATAAACTTATGTTGTTTAAGTCACTGAGATTTTGATATTGTTATTGTAGCATAAGCTACTCTATCCTGACTGATACACCAATGATGAGGCTATTACAGTAAAAATGAGTAACATTCAGTACCCAAGTAAAGTAGAAGCAGTGGGAATGGAGAGAAATGGACGAATGTAAAAGCTGTTAATAAGATAAATTGACCAGATGTGGTGACCGGAATGCAGGAGAAGTGCAGGTAGAGATAAAGATTAGAGAAGCGTCGGTAGATAAACATCATTCCTGATTCCTCTTCCAGTGAGCCTCAAGGTCAAGATTCTCTGCTCTCCCCCTGTGAAGCCGGCATTGTTATCAAGACTCGGTGGGCTATTGAGGGGAGAGGGTTATGGAAAGAGGAGACAACAGTTCAATTTGAGCAGGTTTCCTTTCTATCCCCCATTAATTCTCCATTCCATTCATGTGAGGATCTAAGAAGGTAATGGGTGTAGATAAATGTTGAGAAGGGAATAAGAGTTCGTAGAAGCTGAAGCTTGTACTTATGCTCCATTATTCCTTTCTAGGCTCTTCTTTCATCCACACTCCACTGCAGCGCTTTGTCACCTGCAACCTGATTTCATTTTTGTGCCTGGCCATTGGAGGTGGGTCAGATCCCAGAATCTCATTGGAAGATGGATGCAGGATAGCTGTTATCCACTGTGTAGCAGCTGAAGAGCGGACTTGTGATTCCTAATGGTCACTGTCTATGAAGAGGTTGAGAGCGGGGAGAGGAAAATCAACTCCGTACATGGTAAGAGGTCTTCAGGAATTGAGAAGGGATGAGTGCTGTGATCCCTAGAAAGCTGCATGGTAGGGAACTACTAAGACTGAAGTAGTAAAGCTTTCTGCCTGCTAACCATTTGGATATAAATCCCAAGGATGTATATTTGATGATGGTGTGAAAGCAACAGTGTGCACTTCAGGAGTTGCCAGATTAATCATCTCAGGTTTGATCTAACACATTGCTGTGTGTTCTTGGGTGACATTAAATTCTCTGAACATCAGCTCCCTCTCAACCCTCCTCAAGCAAGTGGAGAGAAAGCACCCTGATGAAGAAAAAAAGAAGACATGGTAGGAACCAAAAATAATGATAAAGAGGTAGTGATCATGTGGCCAGTTGGAGAGAGATTATATAACCAGAAAAGAGCATAGTGGAGTTGGAGAATCTATTATAGAGGTTAAGATAGTTAAAAACAGAATGGAAAAGAAAATATACATATGGAGATTAAATACTGAACATTATCAGTTATAATACTGTTTTTGAATGTCAGCTGTAAATTAGATACTTACCTCCTCTTACCTGAGTCTTAGTCTCTCTGTTTCTGTGTGCCTGTCTCTCTTTCTCTCTCTTACACACACACACACACACACACACACACACACATACACACTGTGACCTATTGTAGTGGCTTAGATGGGTGTAGGGAAATGCAGTGGACTAGGGAGCTCAAACTTGTGCATGAAAGCTTGAAGAACCTTCTCTCAGTGTGAAAGCACATCAAGCAGCTCTCCCTCGGCTCTCCCTGGAGACCCCGTCCTTCCCCAGCAACCTCCTGAACGCCCTCTTGACCTCCTTGTTCCTCAGGGTGTATATGAGAGGGTTAAGTGAAGGAGTGCCCACTGCATAGAAGAGACCAAAGAACTTGCCCCTCTTCTGAGCATAGGGATTTTTGGGCTGGAGGTAGACAGAAATGACTAAGCTATAGAAGAGAGTGACCACAAGGAGATGGGAGGAGCAGGTCCCAGAAGCCTTTCTCCATGCTATGGCAGAGTTAATCCTCAGCACTGCCTGTGCAATGGCACCATAAGAGATAAGAATGAGGGTGAGTGGCATGACCAGGAAGACGACACTGGACACAGCTAACTGGATCTCATTAAAGCTGGTGTCTCCACAAGAGAGTCGAATTAGAGAAGGGACCTCACATACAAAGTCATCTATCTGCCGGTGGGGGCAGAAGGGCAGGCTGAGGGTGGGTGGTGTCTGGACTACTGATTGGACCAGACCCATTACCCAGGCCACAGATGCCAGCTGCCAACACAGGCGGGAGTGGATGATGACAGGATAGTGGAGGGGCTGGCAGACAGCCACGTAGCGGTCAAAGGCCATCACTGTCAGGAGGATGCACTCTGTGGTCCCCAGGAACAGGAAGGTGAAGAGCTGGACAGAGCAGCCAAGGAAGCTGATGGTCTTCTTTGGGCCCCAGAGATTGACCAGCATCTGGGGGACAAAACTGGTAGTGATGCAGAGATCCAGGAAGGAGAGGTTGGAGAGGAAAAAGTACATAGGAGAGTGGAGCCTGGGGTCCAGCACAGACAGCAGGATGATGAGTGTGTTGCCCACCAGAGTCAGGAGGTAAGAAATCAAGACAATGATGAAGAGGATTCTTTCAAGTCCTGGGTATTCAGAGAAGCCCAGAAGGAGGAAGCCCACTGGGGAGCTTTGGTTGACCATGGCCTGCTCCTGTCCAGACCCAGAAGGATAAGCGATGTCAGAGCAGTGTGTTCCAACCTGTCTTATCAAAACTCACCCTGGGACTTGTCAGGTTATAGCACGTGGATGTTTCCCGTCCCCTTCCTCTCACTCAACCTCTCTCTCCAGGCACATCACCATCCAGCAGCTCCTTCTCTCACCCCGTTCCTGCTGGTCAGACGTTGTATAGTGGGTGTGAGGAAACCATGGGTGTGCTGGAAAACAGATGGAGCCTCACACTGGTACTCCCTGCTTACTGGTTGAGTGTAAAGGAGGCTGATGTAGAACATGGATTAACTAATTAATTTTGATTATTCAGTAAACATTTACTGAGTACCTATTATATTTTGAGCACTGTGCTACTATTGAATTTTCCCTTTGTTATGTGTGGAGGAATTACAAAGAAATGTGTGTTGAGTGAACTTCTTTATCATAAACATTTCTGTAGAACTGATCTTACTTTCTAGTGGTGGGCATGACTTTCCTAGAATCATTCACGTTCCGCCTACTTTACACTTTTGCAGGGGATTCACCTAGAGACAGAATTGTAGACTGCGGAGATTTCTTTCCTATATGTAGTGACCCAGTCCTCAGAGAGATCGACTGACAGATCGTGGTCTTTAAAAAAATGATTATGATTTATTAAACTTAAAAGAAACCTGCAAATGAAAATCCCGAACCTCAGGGTCTGGCCCCCATGGCCGAGTGGTTAAGTTCACGTGCTGGGCTTCCATGGCCCAGGATTCGCAGGTTCGGATCCTGGGTGAGGACATGGCACCACTGAGGCGGCATCCCACATGCCACAACTGAAAGGACCCACAGCTAAAATATACAGCTATGCAATGGGGGGACTTGAGGAGAAAAAAAAAATTTGAAAAAAGAAAATCCCTAACCTCAACTTTCCATTTCGTGTAATGTGGAAAATAAGAAAAAATATAGTGTCAGTCAAAAAACGATTTTTATCTGGTTCTATACAGCAAAAATTCCTGAAGAATTGAGGCTTCGAAATGAAAGGCTGAAATACATTTGAGTTTGGGACGTTTAAATGGAGTTTTGATTTTGCACAATGCTTGGTTAACTTCACTCCTATGTGATTAAAAACTTTTTATTTGTTTATTTTTTTAAATAAGATTTTATCATTTACAGGAATTGAATTCCAGAAAGGAAAGAGGGGAGTGGCCACCAGGCAGAGGTTGGGAACCACCACACCCTAGTTTCTTTTCCTTTTTTGTTTATTTATATATATATATATTGGGGAACTTCTTAAAATTTTATTGAGGTCACATTGGTTTATAGAATTATATAAATTTAAGGTGTACATTATCATACTTCAACTTCTGAATAGGCTGCATCACATTCACCACCAAAAGTCTAGAAACATTTTTTATTTTAAAATAAGTTTAAACTTACAGAAAAATTGCAGGAGTCGTTTTAAGGACTCCTATATAAACTTTATCAATAGTCATCAATTTTCAGTATTTTTATTCGTTTGCATCATCAGTTTCCTTCAACATGTTCACATATAATAATATAAATATATATATATATATATATATATATATATTCTTGCTGAGGAAGATTTGCCCTGAGCTAACATCTGTTGTCAATCTTCCTCTTCTTTTTGTGTGTGAGCTGCCACCCCAGCATTGCCACTGACAGATGAGTAGTGTAGGTCTGCACCCGGGAACCAAACCCCGGCCGCCAAAGCAGAGAGGGCCAGACTTAACCACAAGACCACCAGGGCTGGCCCCAGTATATAATAATTTTTATTCAGAGACATTTCAAGGTGGGTTGTATACGTCATGCCTCTTAAATCCTTCAATATTTCAGTATGTATTTCCTGAGAAAGATGATCTCTTAAATAATTCTCTATGGTAATCAAATTCAGGAAACTTAACATTGATACAATACTATTCTCTAACGTACAGTCCATATTCTAATTTTGTCAGCCGTCCCAATAATGTCTTTTGTAAGAATATTTTTTTCATATAGGATCCAGTCAAGATTCACATATTGTACTTAGATTTCACGTCTAGCTCTGGTCTCTTCAGCAGCCTGTTTAAGCCACTGAACTCAAGAATCTGCTCAAAATATTAGACAATGTGGTCAGTCCATGCCTGAGAAGCTCATAGGCTAGAAGGGAAAATGGGTTCATGTTCTTAAAAAACCCTGGAGAGTACACGAACGTTATCAGAAGATCCTAAGAATCGAAGGCAAATAAAGCAAAATATTGGGTGGGTGAGAGACAGAGATCTGTAGAGAAAAGGAGCACTGTGGGTGGGTGAACCAAGGAATGCTTCCTGAAGGAGGTGACTATTGTTGTGAAAGAGAGAAGAGGTGGAGCACAGGAGGCCTGTTCAGTGGTGGCAGCCACTCTGGCAATTGAGAGATAGGAACTAGGCGAGTTGACGGGGAGATGACTGGAGAGACACTAAGACGGCAGTATCTCGCCATTACAGAGTCTCTTCTTTGTGTTTAAAAGCCCATCGTGTCTCTTTATTTGTCCAGACTACCTCTTTTTGTCTCTCTCTTTTCCTTTACTTCCTCTCATTGCTCCTTTTTGTTCTGAGGGATAACTATTTTTTATACCAAGTATTTGAACAAAAGACTATTTAAATCTTAGAAGGCTTCTCTATGCCTCTGCCTGATCACACCCACTTCTTTCCCTTGAAGAGGCGATCACTATTATTCTGATTATTATTATTTTGCATAACTCATTCCTATGTTGTCTTACAACATCACATCCTTTGTGTCGCTAAAAAATAGTCAACTGCTTCTTATTCATGTGTCAGCTGTCATCCTAACACCCTTTCTGCATTCCTTCCTCTCTTATTCTCTGGGTAAATTTCCATCTGTCTATGTTGTTTCTCAGTCTCTTGAATGTACATTGTCCTCTAACTCTGTTTTTGTTCTCTCTTGTTCTCAGTGTTTGAGAACATCTTTTCTCTCACCTTTTTTCTCTTGTCTGTTTTTTTCCTCTGACACTAACAAAATTCAAGCACTACTTTACTCCCTTCCCATTCATTCCATATTCCTGGATGCATTTATTTCTTTATTGATCACCAAAGAGCTAGTTGTGTACTAGGTGCTACAGGGGAAAGAGATATCAATTCTGCTTTCCAATCCAGTAATGATAACCAAGTTATTCTTTTAGCAGTTATCATCTATTGAGTGCTTCCTCTATACCAGGCACTGTGCTAAACATTTCCTGAATGGCTGATTCTCATGGATATTTTCACCACCTTCAAAGTAGTTTGTATTATTCTTCCTTTACAGAAGAAGAAACAATCTCAGAGAGGTTATGTAACTTGTCCAAGGCTGCACAGCTAATAAGGATCAAGGGCAGGATTCTAGATCCTGTTTGATTCCAAATCTTGTGCTCCACTATTGACGATATGTTTAAATGGATGGGCTGTGGGAGAAGAATAAACTTGTAACTTACCCACAATCAAGTCAGAATCTCCTCATTGCCTTGCTGCCAGAGCTTCTGCATGACTAGGAGCTTCTGGACTGGTTCTCCACTTGATCCTCACACTGAGAACTCAAAGTTCATTGAGGAGAGATGGCCCTCCTGAAGGCACTGGAGGTCAGGTCTGTGGTAACAGTGGTGATTGCTAATGCTGCTGCCACACTTTTCAAAGCACTTCACAACAACCACATGAGCTGGATACTATTACTATATTCTATCTTTGTTTTCAGATGAAGACTCTGAAACACAAGCAGGTTGAATAACTTGCTTAGAATAATGTAGCCAGAGCTGAGACTTGAGCCCAGGTGGGCTGGCTCTAGCGCTGTGCACTAACCATATCCCACCTCTATCACTGTGCAGGACATGTGAGGCCAGAGGTAGCTCTTTGCCAACAACCTCTCCTCCTCCGTCCAGGAAGTTAACCTCTCTATTAGTGGCACTGGATGTAGAAACGGGGTTGTGGTGAGGTGACGGAGGGAGGGATCCCAAGGCTCCCATCCCATAGAGAGAAACAGCTCATTAATTCTGCCAAGACTCTGGGGCCGCACAGCCACAGACAATTAATTAGCCACTGGCACTCCTGATGGTTAAGAAGGGAGGGGAGGATCCTGAGGAAACGGGACAGCGACAGTGCCCCTTGTGTTAAATGCAAGGTCCCCTGTGTCATTGGGGAGCATGAGGGTATTGTTTTCTTCTTGTTACCACCTCATGAAGGTTCCATCCTTTCCTCTCAAGCCTCTTTTGAACCCATTTGATACTCCATTATTTTTTGTTTCTTCTCTCTTTGTTGAAATGGAGAGATAATTTACATAAAATATAATGCACAAATTTTAAATGTATAGTGTGATGATTTTTTTAAAGATTTTATGTTTTTCCTTTTTCTCCCCGCTCCCCCGGGTACATAGTTGTATATTCTTAGTTGTGGGTCCTTCTAGTTGTGGCATGTGAGATGCCACCTCAGCATGGTTTGATGAGCAGCGCCATGTCCACGCCCAGGATTCGAACCGATGAAACACTGGGCCACCTGCAGCAGAGCGCACGAGCTTAACCACCGGGCCACAGGGCCAGCCCCTATAGTGTGATGAATCTTGATGACCTCAATCAAGATGCAGAATATTTCTATCACCCGACGACCTTCTCCTTGCCTATTTCTTTGATGCTTGCCCAGCCACTGCTGCCCAGAGGTAACTGCTATTATGATTTCTATCACCATAGTCCAGTTTTGCCTTTTCTAGAACTTCATACAAATGGAATAATATAATATGTACTCCCTCCTGTTAGGCTTCTTTCCCTCAGCATAATTCTTTTGAGATTCATCCATGTCTTTCATGTATCAGTAGCTCATTTCTTTTTATAAAGCAACTTAATTGAAGTACAATTAACATATAATAAAATGCGCACAGTTTGAGTACATAGTTCAATAAGTTCTGACGAGTGTCTATGCCTGGATAACCACCACTCCATTGAAGATATAGGGCATTTCCATTACTCTAGGAATTTCTCCCATGCCCTC